TCATTGTTGGCCCTATGTTCCACTCCCTCACATACATACTCAATAAACTGGTAATTAACAAAACAAAACAAAAGAAAGAAAGAAGGAAGGAAACAATGTTTGGTTTCTATTTCAGAAAAATTAAGTTCACCTAATTTCATTTATTTTTAATATGTTTTTATTGATTTTGAGAGAGAGAGAGGAAGAGAGAGGGATAAAGAGATAGAAATATTAATGAGAGAGAAACATCACTGATTGGCTGCATCCTGCTCACCCCCTACTGGGGATTGAGCCCCAAACCTGGCATGTGATCTGTGATCTGGTTCATGGGTCGATGCTCAATCACTGAGCCACAACAGTTGGGCTAATTTCACTTATTTTTAAATTTGACATTAAAAGTTTTTATTGTCTCTGATTAGAAAATTAATACTTAAACAATTCAAACAATTAAAAATGTATGTTAGAAAGTAAAGTTAACCATAAGCTCTCTATATTCCTCAACATATCTGTTAACAATTTGAGTTATATTATTCCTCGACTTTCTTCATGCATATTAAAATGTATACTTAATGGGTTCACTTTTAAATACCCTTTTTCCATGTTTGCATTTGTGAATCTACCTAAATATTTTATGAACTTTTATTCATTTATATGGAGGCAACTTTGTTTAACCAGGGGCCTATTAATAGATATTTGTATGGTTTTCATTTTTATCTCTATTTCCATCAGTGCTGCAATGAACATTCTATATTTGCCCACTTGTGTGAGTACAAAGGAAACTGCTAGATTCAGGAACATTCTTCACTGGCATTTAACTCAACACTAATTATTAAGTTCCGAATTATATTTGCTAGAAATCTACATGTAAATCAGAGCAAGAGGCGTTTCATTGAGCCTTATGTCTGCTCCTACTTTATAGAAATATCAGCGACGGCGAAAGTACAGCCTGTCTGCTGTGTTCCATTCGGCCACCATGCTGCAAGATGTTGGCGAGGCCATTCAGTTTGAAGTCAGCATTGGGAACTATGGCAACAAGTTTGACTCAACCTGTAAGCCTTTGGCATCAACCACTCAGTACAGCCGTGCCATATTTGATGGTAAGACTGACGTTCCCTCCCGTGCGCGTTTAGAGTGGGTGCCCCACAGGACAAGAAGCATGCAGCGTGTTCTCCCTCTGGCAGCCGTTACCTCCAGTACATGCTAGTGGGAAGGAGAAGGGTGAGTGGGGAGGAGTAGTGGCTGGAGTTCAGGCACCTTTAAGACTAGTCAAACCAAAGAAGCCACAGGCCCTGTGCTGCGCCCCCTGACCCCATCCCATGCTCAAACTTTACACTGGCTCTGTTTTGTAAAGTCACAAGATGGCAGCTTGCTGATCACTGAGCTCCCTGAACACCACTCCCGCCTATTCTCACCTCTGCCCTGCCAGGCCCCCAGTCACGCTTAGATTGAGTAATTGAATGGGACTCTTGCTCAGAGCCTGGGAAATCAAGCTTCTGGTCTTTGCCCGATCACTCACCAGCACTATGACCTTAGCCACATCACTGAATTCTAACATCAGTTTCTTCATCTTCTTCAGAGATGCTGTGCCGATTAAGTAGCTGTACTTGCACAAAGATGGATGAGAAACAGTCCCTGCTTTTAAGGGACTTACATTCTAGTATATAAAATAAATCATAATAAGACGGCAGAGTATGAGAATGCCCTAATAAAGATATTGACAAGTGGTTTAAGAGCATAGAGAAACGAGGGAGAAATCCTGATCAAATATTCCAACAGATTCATCTAGTTTTTACCTAATTTTTGTATAAGCAGTGTTAAAATATAAAATATGCTAGAAACTTGGCTAATAATTCTGAGCAATACCAAACCCCATGTATCTAGCAAAGTCTTTTAAAATACAGAAAGTTCTTTTTTCTTGCCCCACTTCTAACAAAAATATTCATTTAGAAGAGCAGTTTTCAGGGACAAACACATTCAATCTAATCGCCTGTGCTCTCTATATTTTCTGCTACTGTGTTATGTAATCATCAGTGATGTTCCGGTACATGATCCCAAACCACTAAAAATCCTAAAGATTGCTATGTTTGGTTTACTAGGGCATTTTAGAGAGTTTTTCAAAACAGGCTGAATAAATAAGGACTTTCTGTCTATTCCTCCGTTGCTTAATTGAATAAAAGTAAAGAACCCTACAACCCTAGACCATTTCCTAAGCAAACAATGAAACAATAACCCAGTTTGCACATCTCTTTAATAAGCATGCTGTTTGAGTGTACAATGTCCCTGACCCTCAGTGTTCTATACCAGGGAACTACTATTATTACCTGCCTTGGGCCCACACAAAGCCAGTTGTTACCCTGACTTCATATTGGGAAGATATTAGTCATCGCCTGGATGCAGTAAACACTCTCTTAGTCATGGCAGAACGGCTGGTAAGTTTGTCTTTTCTACATTTTCTTTTCACCAGACAGAATTAGGTATTAGCGTTAGATACAGGCTAGGCCACTCGAACACAAGACCTCAAAATATAGTGGTAAGCAAGATAAAAGCAGTGTCTTTAGTTACAGTTGAAGTAGGTGATCCAAGGCTGGTATGGAGGTTCAGTAGTGCTGGGGACCCAGGCTCTTTCCATCTTGTTGCTCTACCATCACTAAGGAGTTGTCATTTGTTTTTGAGGAAGAGGCAGCTCACTATTACACCTACCCTCCAGACTGAGGAAGGGGAAGAGAGGGAGAGGCAATGACACAGGTCTTTCCTTTGAAGGAAAAGACCCAACAGTCACACACTTGATTTATACTCACTTTCCATTGACCAGAATCCAGTCACGTAACTACATCTCACTGCAAGGGAGTTGGGAAATGCACTCTTTTATCTGAGCTGTCAAATGGCCAGATAAAACTGTTCTTATTGTGGAATAGGGAGGGTGGATGTTGGAGGTGAGGGGGCAAAACTCATGGTGTCTGCCACATTTGTATGTGAATATGGTGTAGAGAATGGTTCATTCCAATAGAAATATGCAACCCTTAGAGTTTTGCTGTTAAAGTAGTAAAATTCTCTACTGTGAAAAGAGGGTGGGCTCAAAGGAACCAGAGCCTGACATTTCCCACTCTGGCTGTAGACTAGAGGAACCCTCCTTGTTTGGAGCTTGGAGATTCACTATGATAAAAGCTGCAGAGTTGTAATATCTGAATTATACACCTAGTTGACATCGATGAGGAGAAAGGGATCATGGTTGAGATAAAGATATTAGTCTTCCCAATTTCTATATTTACAACTCCCTTCTCCAGCAGTAAGAAACTTGATTTTTATTATTCTCAATATAGTTACTCATTTATTTAGTCCTAAAATCCAAAGATAAACCACAATAAAAAAAAAACTATAGTTTGATATGTTTATGATTTTTTTTCTTTCCTTTAAACAGAGGATATATAGTGAAAATATTGTGTTGAAAAATTACTTTGGTGAGTTCAGTGTAGTTATGTTATTCATCTGAAATATAATTCAGGTTCATTTGTTCCTGTTTTATATTCCATTTTAGGGTTCCTTTCCCCCATCTTTGTTGGTTTTATTTTATTGCTATTTGAGTACATAATATATTTACATGGTTTTGTTGACATAAGAAACACCCAAACCTGTAAGAATTTTTATGAGTTTGTTTGAACCAAACTGATGACAATTGCCAGGAAGCAAAATCTTAATGGATTAAGAAAATGTTCCAGAGAATGGTAGCTTTGCATCTTATTTTATACATAGAATAAAAGGAGGAGACATAAATAAGGTTACATGAAATTCATTGGTGGTAGATTAAGGAGGCAGGAGAAGGCAAAGTGAAGAAATTTCTGGGATTTGGATAAAAAGTAAAATGGAAAGATGCTTCTTTTGCATTGGTGAGCACAGGATAGTTAACAATTAACATTTACAGCACTAAGAGATGGTATGAAGCAAAGGAGATAATAGTAAGGGGTTCTGTGGTCTCCTGCTCTGGTAGGAGATTGTACCCTGAGGAGTCTGAAAAAAAGGGAATATTCTGACATTCCAAATGTCTGATAAAGTAGAAACAAAAAGGCAATAATAGACAGGCTCAGCTAAGGTAAACATTGACTTTTGTCAAGGAAGATACCAGCCTAGGACATGACAACCCACCAGGACTTGCTTTTAGTTAGGAAGTTTTCATTTCAGGGCATCCTATGTGTTTCCTCTAGGTCTCTGAGTTGGTAAGGCCCACTCACTATACAGGCCTCCCCTGAGCTTGTCAGGTTTAGTATGTGGCCCTTTTTCTGTCCACACTTTCAAGGGTCAAAGCCATATGAAAAGGTCATCCTAGTACTTAAACATATCAGTGTTGACTGCATTTTGAAGAAAAATAAATAGTGCTAGGCTATGGTGAGCATTATTAAAAGCAAAACAATAAACAAAAGTGCTAGGCTATGGTGAGCATTATTAAAAGCAAAACAATAAACAAAACAATAAAAATCCCCTTTTTTTCTGATAGGTCTTTTGTGTATTTTTTTAAATTGAAAATTAAAGTTAAACCTCACTGGGTATAATGGCATAATGCACAATTACCAACTATTTCCTCTCTTTCCCAGCAATCAAACATAGAGGCTCTAAAATCAGGGATACAAGGTAAAATTCCTGCAAACCAGCTGGCGGAAATATGGTTGAAGCTGATCGATGAAGTTATAGAAGACACGAGGTAAACTGATTTTGTGTATCTCAGAATTTCCAGCCATGCTTCCCTCACTTAAACTATCAGACTAGCCAAAACTGGTTTGGCTCAGTGGATAGAGCGTGGGCCTTCGGACTGAAAGGTCTGAGGTTCGATTCCGGTCAGGGGCATGTACCTTGGTTGCAGGCACATCCCCAGTAGGGAGTGTGCAGAAGGCAGCTGATCAATGTTTCTCTCTCATTGATGTTTCTAACTCTCTCTCTCCCTTCCTCTCTGTAAAAAATCAATAAAATATAAAACAAACAAACAAAAAAACTATCAGACTAGGAGCCTCTAGAATTATTCCTAACGTTCGTCTGAAAAATAAATTTCAATTAGTCAGGCTTCTCAAAAGGCTGGCACTGGGAAGGCTGGCACTGGGAAGGCTGGCACTGGGAAGAGTCTGAATCACCACAGGAAAAGCTCCACTTTCGGGTTTGGTGCCAATTCTAAAGCAGCCCAGGAGGCTGAGGCCTAACTGGGAGGCTGGGCCTAACTCCAGGAGGCACATCCCAGCACAGCCTCAGGTGAGGGGCGGGGAGGGAGCAGGGAGCAGGGCTGTGTCTCTGCCTCCCACCAATCTCCGGGCTGGGGGCAGAGCATCCGTTTTGCCATTCGGAACATTGTTTGTAATTTCAACACACTTTTTAGAAACAACTGTTTTACGTGCTCATTTACTGATTGCCTGGTGAACACCCTGGCCCAGCCTCCTTTCGGTAAAGCCAGTAACTTTGACTTGAGCCAGAGAACCTTTCATAACTGTGACTTGGGGAAACTGCTCATATCTCTGGGTATTTGGAAATCAAAGGGGGAAGTGATTCATTTTAAATATTCGTTTTAAATATTGGCTAATAAAGCAGTGGACAGGGAAGTTCCAAAAGAAAAGCATATCGAATAGTTCTCACAAGTAACAGGAACCAGAGTCATCCTCTCCCTCCCCCCACCCCCAATGCTCCAAGTCTCCCTGTCTTCTTGTGCCTTCTAGTGGTGTAACCAGGTAATTGACATGCAGCTAAGATCAGAGTACTGCTGGATTCTGGTTTATATTCAGAGAATTTTAATCTGGGTCCAAGAGGTCATCTCTTCCGGTCTTGTTACTTTATAGATGAGAAAGCAGTGGCCCAAGGAGGTGAAATGGTGCCTCTGATGCCCAGAGTTGGGTTTATAAGTGCAGCTCTTCTTCTTGCTGCGTGTTTCACACTGTTAGCATCTATTTATTGAAAGTCTCACATGTGACTTTTCAGCTAGCAGCTTCCGTATTCATTTATGCATCAATGAATCATAGCAGGGACTTAACCCTTCCAATGCATTGCCCTAATTACTAATGTAACCAAACAGAAATATTTCATAATGCCTTTCATGTCGAAAATGTGAATGCTAAGGTTTGCTGAGCAAAACACAGAAATATCTATGTTCACTATTCTTAGAGAATCTCTTTTTAAAGAATCAAATGCACGTGAATTATTTATTGAAGATTTAAATTGGAAACTTTTAAACTTTATGTAACAGGAAATTTGTGTTTAAGGGAAGTCATGGTTGGATTTCCTTCATTTAGGAAGCTGGGTGAAATTCAAACCAATGGAAATTCCAGGTAGAGACAATGTGAATAAAACTTCCTGGAATTGGTGACAGTCTTACCCTGTGTTCCCGCCAGCTGTCATGTTGAGAGGGAAGCACTGGCAGAAGATGGCCCCAGCTCGGCTATTCTTGAGTTCTCATTTTGAATGAGAGCTTGGCCTACACAAGTGGTTCTTAGCCTCTTGGGAGCTCCAGGGCCCCTTTGAATACCTGATGATGATGATGATGATGATGATGATGATGGCAACATTACTTAGACTTTAATTTGTATCAGGCATTGCTCTCAATGCTCACAATACATTAATTCATTTACTTCCCACAACCCTAAAAGGTAGATATTTCCCCCCCACATTTGAAGATAGGAAGATAAGAGATCACAGAGCTCATAAATGATGGTGCCAAGATTTGTACCCAGGTAGCCGGCTCCAAAGCCCGTGTTCTTCCTCATTATGTGCCACTGCGTGTCAACACAAATGTACACTTTTCTTTATAGGTTCCAGGGATTCATACACTTTTTCGGGCTCACCCACAGGTGATATAGGGGTGTATGGTCCCTAAGTTAAGAACCCGTTGGCTAAATGGTCTCTAATCTCCCTTCTCCTTCATTTTGTGGTTCTATTAGAGGGAGGAAAGGTCATTTCTCCAAACTGCTGCTGCTGCTTCCCATCTTCTTTCCAGCGATTCTATAGGCCTTGGGTCAAATCCAAGGAATCACTTTGAAATTTTAATTCCCCCCTGCATTTCTTTTGAGAGTGAGGAGAGTCTTAACTGGAACATCTGATCTACCAATGCCATATACAATCTTTTCAGCTTACATCTGCCGTACAGTTAGGAAAATGGTGTGGAAACCAAATAGAAATGATGTTGACGGTTCTGAAGCCTAAGAAGCTATTCGGCAAACTCTGTTTTGTTTTGTTGTTTTTTAGCTACACGTTGCCTCCAATGGAAGGAAACCCTAATGTCACAATTCTAGATACGCAGATCCAAAAGCTGCGGTCCAGATCTCTCTCCCAGATTCATGAGGCAGCTGTGAAGATGAGGTCTGAGGCCACAGATGTGAAGTCCACAGTGGGGGAAATCGAGGACTGGCTTGATAAATTAATGCAACTGACGGAAGAGGTAGGACTTTTAAACTGCCCGAATGTCACTTGCTATAGAGGAAGGATTCTGTGGAATGGCATAGGCTAGAGATGGTGGTAGGGAAACCTAGGACATTGCCTTAGATTTTGGCCAGATCTGATGGATAATGAAATGAAAGAGCTGCTGGCCAGGATGTTAATGGGTAATGGGGTGAACATCATTGAAGTCAGGACAGAAGGAGGATTTTGAGTTGGTGGTCCCAGAAAGGTCTTCAGAGTGGACAAATCATTATCATAACCACAGTATTTCAAGTAGAGTGATAAAGTAGCAGATAAGGAGCAAATGCTGCCTTTGGTTAGAATTGGGAAGACTTGACTTTGAATCTGGATCTACCATGTGTAAACTTGGGCAAAGTACTAGTATTTAAACTCTCTAAGCTTCAGTTTCCATTAATGTAAAATGGAGGTAAATGTAGTACTCACTTCACAGCACTGTTTCGTAAAGATTAAAGAGGATGATGAGTGTTAGGGGCTTACCACGGTGCAGGGCACACAGTGAGGGCTGGATAAATTTCGATTGCCATTAACCTCTGCGGACTGAAAGAGCAAGGAACAGAGGACCCCTCCTATTGACCTTCAGAGGTGGGTCGGGGGACTAATGTATTGGTAAATAGAAATCCATTTGAAAAAACATGTGATTACAGATAATTTTTATTTTCTACTTTCTATACTTTGGTGCTTTCAAATTTTCTATAGTGAACTTGTATTACCTTTATAATAAAAAAAGTGGTTTTTTAAAACTAAGCGAATATTTCATATTTGGAAAATATATGAAATTTGTAGCCCTTTGACTACTGTTGATGGCTTTCTTCAAACAATGGGCAAGATAAGAGGTGATATTTCCTAAAATACCTGTCGGAGCCCAGCGAGCAGGCAGGGCTTTGGGCAGGTGAAGACCCCTTCTGCTTCCCGCTATGCCCTTTGGCCATCCCCAGCCTCTCCTGGCCCTGTGGGCTCCCAGTGTGGTCCTGAAAGATGGGAGACTCAGGAATGTGGGCCAAACAATGCTTGACCACATGTTTCTTTGCCAAGTGGAGCCCTGCGGATCCAACCTGCAAGTCCATGTGCATTTAGACTAATGCTAGCTGTGCTTCCTTTTCCACCCGCCCACGTGACCAGCCTCAGAACAGTATGCCTGACATTATCATCTGGATGATCCGGGGAGAGAAAAGACTGGCCTATGCACGCATTCCCGCACATCAGGTTTTGTACTCCACCAGCGGGGAGAATGCATCTGGGAAGTACTGTGGAAAGATCCAGACCATCTTCCTGAAGGTATGGCTTCATCGCTGTGTAATGTGAAATACTTACATGCAAAACCCGCACCCGTGATCAATTCCTGCCCACTCTGGCCCCTTCCCCTGGGGTGGTAATTCCCAGAGAGTGGTCCAAGTTTTGTTGGCATTCAATCAAGGACTCTGATATTAACATGGCATTGTGAATGCTTTGCTTTCTGGCGTGGATTTTCCACTGATTTCTAAAGCCTCATGAAAACCAATGCCTTTCTCCCCTTCCCTTCTAGGGAGTGTTTGGAAGTAGAAAAAAGTATATATCATATAGGTAGTCCATGGAATCTATTCCCTAACTAAACGGGTCCTCAAATTGAAAATTTGGGGGAATTATTACTTTAGGGCAGGGGCTCCGGGCATTTTTAGAGTCATGGGCTCCTTTAAGTACCGTGGACTAAACCCAAAGAGCTCTTTGGATTTGGTGGGGGGAGGGGGGAATAAAGAGCAAGAAAAGAAAAAAAACAATCAGGGGAGAGTGTTCTCTTAAAACAAGGAGGTATCTGCTAACTTTTAATAAATGTACTCATTGCTCTTTAGGGTGAAAATAGAGCTGGAGTGATTATTTTCTCTCAAGTACCTCTTGGTGGGATAAATATTACTTAAGATAGAAGCACAATTATAATTGACCTCAGCAGTGGGTGGAAGCAAACTGATTAATAAATAAAATTTCACAGTGGGTGAGAGAGGAGGCAGAGTGGTTTTCTCTGTGTTAGATTTTAGAGCTCAGTGGATAAACAGCAAAATGCTTTTAAGGGAATGTTTGATATAGTTATTGATTTTGTTAATACTCATTATCCAGTTTAGGGAATTATTTAGTTCAGTGGGGTTCTTTTTGGTCTTGGGACCCCTTTCCACAAAAAGGATAATTTTACAAAAAATTGTTGAAGACCCCAGAGAGCTTTTGTTTATGTGGATTGTACCTATTAATATTTACCATTATATAAAGTAAAAGTGTGCCATTTAAAAATATTTATTAACTCATTTTAAAAGAATAATAATAGACCCATTCCATGTTAACTTATGTTGCACGTTTTTATCCAATCTAACTGTACTTTCTTTAAAAATCAGAGAGCAAAGTGATACTGTTTTATATTTTTTGAAATATTTTAACTGTGAAAACATAAAATTTCCAGTGAGAGCCATGATCGGATGTCTGGCCAGCTTTTGGCTTAATGTTCATGTCACAGCCCATGCTGTGCCCCCCATAATGTATCATGTTTTTGTGCACCTCACAGTATCCACAGGAAAAAAGCAATGGACCAAAGGTGCCTGTGGAGTTGCGAGTGAACATCTGGCTGGGCTTAAGTGCTGTTGAGAAGAAGTTCAATAGCTTCGCGGAGGGAGCATTTACTGTCTTTGCTGAAATGGTACATTCCACACCATCACTCTCTTTTCCTCTTTGTGGGGGTACATTTGCCTTTCATCCTTAGGGGAGCACACATATTTGAAACCACCAACCTCACCACTACTGCCTAAAATCCCAGCCAAGGGACATGAGCCTGAGGGAATAGGGGAAGATTGACTTGAGGTTTTATTGTCAACATTGGGACACAGACAGAGTGATTCACACAAAGACAACCCAGGAGTGAGGGCACTGGGCAGGTGCAGACCTTGAGAAGCCTGCGTGGGATCGGGAGCCTGTCAACCACGGGAGACTCCCTTCTCACGGAGGGGAAGCCTCAGGTGGGTTTGCCTGAGGCCAAAGAAAATGCTGCCCGAGTACTTCAAAGACAATAGAGATAATTTGTAAAACCTTCACTGAGTTAAAAATCGACTTTTGGTTATTAAAAGTCTCATTACAATTAAGCCAATGAAAATAATTTTCACAAACTGGACAGCTAAAAATTTATTTGGATTTGTTCTTTATATACTATTTTAAACTCAAAGTGCTTTTTGATGTGAATTTATTATATGTATTCAGTGGGTTTCTTTTGATAATTCTCAGATGAACTCCATTCTTCTGCAGATGGGCCTTCATACCCAAATAAATGGAGAGATTGTCTTCTTCCTAGCTAGTTTATACATGTTCCTGCTGCCCGACTCTCTACCTGACAACTGGGTCAGGATTGTGGTTCTTATCTGCTTGCTGGGCTATCTTCAGTTTTTACATTTTATTCATTTAGCAGTACCTGACACATAAATATTTATTGGATGAATAAATAAATACATGATAGCAGATTTCATCCATCCACCCATATTCTCCAACCATTCATCTATCCACCCATCCATCTATCTGTCCATCTACCCATCTACCCATCTACCCATCTACCCATCTATCCATCTACCTATCTACCCATCTACCCATCTACCCATCTATCCATCTACCCAAGTTCTTAGAGAGCAGTGGCTTTATCCCAGGCACAGAGGCAGGTGATGAAGAAGCCAAGCCCTGTCCTCAAGGATCTCATCATCTACTGGTAAAACGGGGTGTCTTGTTAAACATGCTGAGTGCCAGAGCCATTTCAGGGATTCTCATTTTGTTGCTGAGTGAGGGATTAGCACCAGAGGTGATTCCAATGTGGGTGGATAAGGGTATCAGTGGACCACTTTGAGAAACAATGAAACACATGGGAGACATACAGAGTCCTTACAGCGCAGGCTTGGAAGTGCAATTGGAATAAGTAGAGGGTGTGTTGGAGGTTGCAGCGGGAGGCCCTGAGTGGTGGATGCTGATGTCCAGTCAGATGGGTAATGTGAAGTGGAGGTTCATCAGGGCACACATAGGAGAGGCCCTGGAACATTTGGCTTCCACCTTACCTTCCAGCTCTGTGGCTGGGTCTAAACCTGGAGAAGCTAGCACTGAGCAAGGATTGACCAGTCCAGGGCTCCCTTCCACCCTTTCCCATTTCCAGACCCTTCCCTGCCTAGAAGGAACTGGAGTTTCAATTCCCATAAAGAGATAATCCACCCATTTCACTTGTTTTGTGTAGCTCTAGTTTCTCCTGACTCTAGCAGCCTATGAGTACCAGTAGAGGTACACTAATAACAATAATGGAAATAATGCTAGTTCTTTCCTTCCTTTGCTAATACCAGACCTCAGTTCTCTCAAAATCCCTCCCCACCCTAGATTTCTGGAAGTCTCTGAGGTGCTTCACCTGTGTTAACAATCCTTCCCCCAACTGCTAGTTAAAGGCCACAGCCTCAGAGCCACGTGAGGCTCCTTCTCTACTGCTGCTGCCCTCTTGTCCGTGCCAAGCTTCTAACCTGTGTTTCACTAGAGCCACGCTGGCTTCCAAGCAGAGGTGGTAGGAATGCCTTGTTCCTTCTTCCTGTGTCCTTGTCACTTAGAAACCAAAGGAACTGTGCACATGCCCCCAAGTCTGACAGCCCCTGTGGCAACAGGTTCCCTATTTTCTTCCTCAAGTTCATCTCCTCTCGGGCTCAGAGCCAGTATCTGAGACAAGCACTATTGTGTCCTTGAACCCAATTTCCCCATCAGGCCCCTACTCAAGCTTCTTCCTTCCTCCTTTAGCCAAAAACTCCCTTATCACTTATGCCAATCATCTTCTCAATCAGCTCATCATCAGACAAATGGAACTTTTTTGCTGGATCCAAACAGGGACACTCATTCTAGCAAATCTCAATCCTTTTATGATGGTTGACATAGTAAAGGACAGATTGTTATAGATTTATTAATTCTAACGTAGAAAGAAGTGACCTGTAAACCAGAGTCTGCCATTGCCGCTGAACTTACTTCCAAAAAGGTCTTGGTCTACCCACCAGTGGGGATGAAGGCTCAGAATTTTTAGGCCCCATAAAGGCTGGGTGCTAAACAACTTTCATGTTTCAGACAAGTTCTTTGTGGATTGCCTGGGAAATGTAGCATCAGTTATAGTATTCTTTCTATGGGGAAATGTGCCTCAACTTCTAGGCAGTAGGCTTGCAATAAACTTAGAAGCCTGCATATTCATAAGCTGAGGACTTTTCATAAGTATCGAAAAGGTTAGGTTCTGAGAACAAAATGGAGCCATTCAAAATAATAATAGAAACAATTAGCATGATATACCATTCTTCACAAAGCACTTTCACAATCATTTGCACATTTGAACTTTATAAGAAATACTAGAGGCCCAGTGCACGAAATTTGTGCACAGGTAGTGTCCCTAGTGGCTGCCAGCTGCTGGCTGGGGCCTTCCTTCCCTGGCTTCCGGCTGCTGGCTGGGGCTTTTCTTCATTCCGCACCACCCCCTGGTGGTCAGTGCACATCATAACAAGCTATTGAACTCCCAGTCAGTCTAACTCCCAAGGGGACACTGTGCATATTAGGTTTTTATATATTTAGATAGAATTAGATTGTCTCCGGTTTACATTTGGGAGCACTGAGTCTTAGATTTATCCTAAATTGCAGAATCAGTAACAGCCCAAGTTTGGTCCATACCTTCTGAGCTTTTTCACTTTCTATTACTGTTTAGCTTAGTCTTAGGCTTAAAAATTTATGGGCTGGTTCTATTTCTTGCTCTCTGATGGTGTTTCTCCATTTTTCCTTTTTTTAATAGTATGAAAATCAAGCTCTTATGTTTGGAAAATGGGGCACTTCTGGATTAGTGGGTCGCCATAAATTTTCTGATGTCACCGGAAAAATAAAACTCAAGAGGGAGTTCTTTCTACCTCCAAAGGGCTGGGAATGGGAAGGAAGCTGGACAGTTGATCCTGAAAGAAGGTAAGTTTTCCATTTTCTGAAAAAAAAAATGATGTCAATGAAGCTTTTCCCTAGAAATTGGTAAAGGAATCTTCTCCACCATTTTTTTTAACATTTATGGAACACCCAATGAGCAAGAATAAGCCTATAGAAATTCATAGAAACTTGAAAGATATCATCAGTGCCCCATACAAGGCAAACAAATGTAAGAAGACCCTGAGACTAACATTTATTGAGAACTTTTTTGTGTGAATGTGTCGAGCCATGTGCCAAGCACTGATATCATCTTACTGAATCTAGACTGCAGCCCTACAAGATAAGTAGTGTTAAAATTTATCAAATGTCTGAGATTTTTACCTTCGTGTAAGATTAGCAAAGTAACCTACCAGTTTCATGGATGCTGGTAGGTAGGAGACATAAGACTCCTGGTTCAGAGACAAAGGATATTATTGTCCACAGCAATCACAATGTCAGGATTTTAACACTTACTTTACTACTCTGAGCCCCAGTTCCCACAGGGAGACAGGAAGACAGTCAGATGACACTTGCACATGCAATGGGTGATGTGGCAGGAGAGGAACCTTGAGTTTGGGGAACCCAAACATTTTATAATAGGTAATAAGCATGCTGGCTCTTTGCTCCATAAAGAAATATCCTCTCAGTCTTCCAAATTTGTTTCCCATGTAAACATCCTTGAAAAGATAGTCGGTAACAAACGTTAAGGGTCCTGTGTGCAGAAATGCAAAAGACACACAGAGATTTATGTGCCAACAAATAATAGTATTAGCTCCACTTTACAGATGAGGAAACTGAAACCTAGAGAGAATAATTAACTTATCCAAAGGCACTCAGATTGTGAATGTTACGAGTCTAGTCTGGGCACTAAAACTGGCACTCAACTATTATGCTGGAATATTTGTAAGAAACAGAGGAAACACTTAAAATGGGTGAATTGTATGGTGTGTAAATTATATATCAAAAGCTGTTATTATTATGCCCTAACTGGTTTGGCTCAGTGGATAGAGCATCAGCCTGTGGACTGAAGGGTCCCAGGGTCGATTCCGGTCAAGGGCATGTACCTTAGTTGCGGGCACATCCCCAGTCGGGGGTGTGCAGGAGGCAGCTGATTGATGTTTCTCTCTCATTGATGTTTCTAACTCTCTATCCCTCTCCCTTCCTCTCTGTAAAAAAAATCAATTAAATATATTTTTTTAAAAAGCTGTTATTAAAATAGGGAAAAAACAAAAAAATATCAGAGAGTAGCAACCATGTTTTGCCTGGAGTCTGGGGAAAACCAAAGCCTGGCTTGTGTGTGTTGGCTGTTATTAAAATAGGGGGGTGGGGGGAACAGCAGAGAGTAGCAACCATGTTTTCCCTGGAGCCTGGGGAAAACCAAAGCCTGGCTTGTGTGTGTTGCCTGCAGCATCAGGACTGGAGGTCCCTCCTCTCCCACTTCATGATGGCGTGCTTGAGTGTGGAGGAACCAAGCTTGTGAACTTGGATTTTAAGACCTTGAACTAGTTTGCGATCTCTGTCCACATTTGTTTCTTGTAATCACATAGGCATTAAGGAAGGAGGGAAATGGGTGTGCTGGGTCTGCTCTGTTAAGACCCAGTGTTTGGCCATGATTGCTTTTAACCCATGGCGGCTTACTTTGGCTGGAGTTGGGGTTGCTAGTAAGGAGAAGGGAAATGAGATTTGAATTGGACAGAAGGGAGTAAGGTTAGTGAGGACAGGGAAAGGCAGGGGATATTGTGATTGAAAAAGCAGAAGGTCAAAGCCTGTCAGGGCTGAATGGGACCTCACAGGCAGCTACGGGTCTTCTATTCTCCTTCTCTGGGGCCCAGAAAAGTGATGGATGAACCCAATTTATACAAATGGTTGGGATGCTGTGTTTTCTGACTTCTTTCCAGTGCTTGATTCTAGGGGAGAATATAGCAGGGAAAAGACGTAGCACCGGTCAAGGAAAAAGAAACCCCACTTGAGTGAACACCTGGCAGAAGATTTAAGTCGAAGTTGGAGCCTCTGTACTTCCCTCTATGGATTGTCAACATAGTTTCACATCCAAGAGGAAAATTGGCATGGCAGAGAGTCAGTATAGGTTTCCCAAGTGCCCAAATGGAGGTTGGAGTCTTAAATGACCTGGTTTGGCTGCCGACCTAGGAACTATCCAGAAAACCTAAACTCTGTTTAAGACTGAGCAAGCCATGAGTAAGAATTTCCACGCTTGGCCCCACGAGACTGTTCCCACTCCATTTTTTAAAATAGGGTGAGTGAGGAAGGAGCACTGCCTATTCTTTTGAACTGAGAGCCAAGAGTTTTGCTGAGAAAAATCTGAACAGCCCTAAACTGAAGCAGACATATGGAATCAGAGGTCCCTATAAGATGCTGCCCCCAATCCTTTTCCCCAGTCCCCACCCTAATTACTGGTAGTCTGAGGAGTTCTCTGTAATTTAAGTCTCATTGTTCCAGCGGGCCCCTTTATCAAATGAATGTCAAAAGCTGTTAGCACAAAGAGGAGTTTGGAGGGGAGCACCCACAGGGCCAGAATGAGGAGGGAACTGGTGCCACCCAGGCTGTAGATGGTTCTGGACCATTGGAAAGAGTTGGGCTTGTCAGCTACCTATTCTCCCTTGGTAACACGAGCTTTGCCCATAGCTTGCTGACCGAGGCCGATGCAGGTCATACGGAGTTCACGGATGAAGTATATCAGAATGAGAGTCGCTACCCCGGGGGCGAGTGGAAGCCGGCAGAAGACACCTACACCGACGCGGTGAGTGGTGTGCTCCCGAGATAGAGCCTTCCACGTTAGCTGTTTGGACCCATGGTCTGTGAATCCACTAACCACAGGCTTGATTTCCCCTTCTCTTCTGCTCTGTCTCATGTTCTGAACAGCCTTGCATCCATAACAAGCCACACAAGTGCACCTATAGTTATTTTCTGTAGAAAGGTCGTTGGGCCTATTTAACTAGATGTTGGTATATGGTAAAGGTTGTGCAATTTTTAAAATTGTAAATGTTTATTTGGTGTTTCTTTTAAATAGTTTTTAAAAGATTTACAAATTGAAGGCTCATGTTTTTAAAATATTCAAACAGCATAAAAGGAAATGAAAAGTAATTCTTCTTCATGATCCACATTTTACTCTCTGGAGATAACCACTCATAGTTTTCTGTTCATATACAAGTATATAACTTTTCTCCCCACCTAAATAGAATTGCATGCACAGTTCTACAACTTGTAATTTTCACATAACAATATATCTTGGACATCTTTTGATATCAATACATATCGGTCTGTTGTACATTTTTTCTTTGCCAGACCCAATGCTGTTATGAAGCTCTTTTTTTTCTGTTTCTGTTGATATATATTAGCCTTTATTAGAGAAAAGATGGTTGTAAAAGTAGACTTGAAATATTTATGGACCCCCAAGAAAGAAAAGACATTTTCTCTTTAAAATCTAGGTTTGCTCTTATCAGATTTTGGAGTCTTGGTTTTGGAATCTTTAATACGTGTTTTATTACAAGTTAAAGAAATGAGTTGCAGTCAATCCGCACAATCCGACCAGAATCACCTTGCTCTAATGAGCTTTTGAAAAAATGCCTGCAGTGTTTTGGTATATGCACCCAGTATAATTTAATTGACGCTCTTTTTGTGGACATATAGGAGTTTGTTCAAGTCTTGGCATTTATAAGTGATGTGACAGTAAATGTTCTTAGACATACATTGTTATTCACTTGTGAAAGTTGATCTGTAGGGGACATCCCTAGATGGGCTTGGTCAAGGTTTTGATGCACATAAAGTTTTGATAAATATTGCCAGACTGCTTTCAAAGAGGTTGTATAAATTTATATTTCCAGCAGCAGTGTATTAGAGGGCTGTTTTCTAAACACTCACCATCCCACTTTAACATCTTTGACCATACTTGAAAAACTGGTATCCTGTTGCTATATTAATTTTCCCATCCTTAATTTAAAGTAAAGCTGAGTATTTCTCCATATGTTTATGGCCCCCCCTTTACTTCCTTTTACTATGAGCTTTCCCCCCATAACACTCCATCACTTTTTGTGCAGAACTGAAGTCAATATTTAAAATAAACTTTCTTCAATCATACATGACTATTATCTACAACCTCCAGCACCATTACCCCATACTTGAAGACATGTGTTTTTCATGCTTTACCCATTTCTGATGGGTTCTTTCCAATATAGCCCCTCGTAAAAAGAGTCACACTATTTCCTAATATTAAATTGAACCATATGAAACTGCTGATATTTCACCATTTTGACCTGCCAAAACAATTTCCCATGGTTCCACCTAACATATTCCCTAATGGTGGAAACAGAGGTGGTTCTCTTTTTAAACTAATTTTTGTATAGTAATTGTGTCTAAATAAAGATTAGAGATTTTTCTGAGTAAGATTCGTGTCTAAGCTGCTATCTCAGTTACCATGTGAATACCATAGTTAAGGGTGAGGAATCATATCTCATCTTTGCATCTTAGATCACATTATGGCTTAGTTGTAATTCTTCATGTTTTTGCCTTTTTTTTTTTTTTAAGAACGGTGACAAAGCGGCATCACCCAGTGAGCTCACATGCCCTCCAGGTTGGAAGTGGGAAGACGATGCCTGGGTATATGACATAAATCGTGCAGTGGATGAGAAAGGTAACATTTTTTATTTCATTTTTTTATTTTAATTTTTTAAATTTTTTATTACAGTTGACAATAGTTTCAGGTGTACAAGATAGTGCTTAGACATTTATATACCTTATGGAATGATCACCCCGATAAGCCTAGTAGAGAAAGGTAAGATGTGAGTTTATTTTCTGACTAGGGGCTCTGCAGCCCAGCCCTGGTGTTCTAACCACACCCCATTCCCTCCCTGGAGACTATAAATTACCTTCAAAGTCCTATTCAAAAAGAATGCAGATTACTGGCGTAGCCTCTGCTAATGGTGTGTATCCTTTTCTATGTGAAGTAAGGGGGCCGGGTGGCTGGACTTTGGGGTGCCAGAGGTCCATAATGAGATATTTTCTCTATTCTAATCACACCCCATTCCCTCCCTGGAGACTATAAATTGCCTTCAAAGTCCTATTCAAAAGAGTGCAGATTACTGACGTAGCCTCTGCTAATGGTGTGTATCCTTTTCTATGAACAGTTTAAATGAAACTATAACATTTGGAATTATCAAAAGAGAAAACCCTGATTTTTTTTTTCTTGTAAGATGCAGTAGTACACAGAAACACCTAGCTTTCAAGTAGATTTCCAGTTCTTTGCTGATCCTGACACACGCATGGGCCTTGTAATAATAGTTAACATTAACTGAGCACAACCTACGTGCTGAGTAGTGCTTTGCATGCATTATATTGATGAATTCTTCTTGTAAGATGGAGTAGTACACAGAAACACCTAGCTTTCAAATAGATTTCCAGTTCTTTGCTGATCCTGACACATGCATGGGCCTTGTAATATTAATTAACATTAACTGAGCACAACCTACGTGCTGAGCACGGCCCTAGTGCTTTGCATGCATTATATTGATGAATTCTTTTTTTTAATTGTGTATTTTACTATGATACTGGAGAAATTAGGCCATAAGCAGGTTTGCTAACTTGCAAGAAACTTTTTTTAGTTCACAGCTGGCATGTGGGGATGCTGGGATTTGAACTCAAGCTGTGTGACCGCACAGACTACATGCTTTTAACCACCATCTACTCTTCCTCTTGTTCTGTGCTTTATTCTTAGATACATTCAATTACCATGAATGAATGGAGGTAAAAAAAAAAAAAGTGGAGGGGAACCCCATGGCCACCAAGGAAGAGGGAGCCAGGGGGATAATGCCATAGTCAGTTTGAAAGGAGCAGTGGCATTCAGTCGCGATGGTAGAGAATATTTAGGGGCAGAGAGAGTGACTGAATGTTTCCTGGATGTTTATTTGGCCCCCTGGCAAGTGTATCTCCTTTGGATAACCATTCACACTCTCTGTTCTAGGCTGGGAGTATGGAATTACTATTCCTCCTGATAATAAGCCCAAATCCTGGGTTGCAGCAGAGAAAATGTATCATACTCATAGACGACGAAGGCTGGTCCGAAAACGCAAGAAAGATTCAACACAATCCACTGCCAGTACTGCAAAGGTAAGAGGGGCAGTGGGAGGGGTCTAGGCTGGGCTCTGCCTTCCAGACCACACAGAAGTCCACTTAGCTGTTGCTACAGAAGGCATTTGCCACTCAAGGGCCTATTACCTTGCCCCAGAGTTCTCAGTGTGCTCCTCACCCCGATTGATCAACAGCAGCATCACCCAGGAATTTGTTAGAAATGCCATGCTAATTTAGGAGCTCTGAGGGTGGAGCCCAGCAACAAGGTGATTCTGAGGCAGGCTAAATATTGAATGTAATTGAATGTATCTAAGAATAAAGCACAGTACAAGAGGCAGAAGTAGATGGTGGTTAAAAGCAAACCACTCAAGAGGTAGAACCAGAAACAGAAAGTATTTGGTAGCATAATAGAATAGTGGCAACAGCTCAGGACTTGGAATAAGAGGCATAAGGATTCAAATCCTGACTTCGTTTTGTTTCTCATCTGCAAAATGGGTATCCCATCATGCTGCAAATTAGGGAATGGTAGGGCTTAAATGGAATAATAATAAATGAAGTGGAACAATAATACTAATAACAGTAATAAGTAGCACATTTTGTGTGTCTTTTATAATGCTAGAGACTGAACATGCATTATCTACCATCCACAAGGTTAACATTTTATCCCCATTTTATAGAGATTAAATAGGCTTGCTCTAGGTCACATGTCTAGTAACCAATACAACTAGTGTTTGAACCCAAGCTAGGCTAATTCCTAACGAGAACTTTTTCTATCCCACGCAGTAGGTATGATGAATGAAGCTACTTTTTATTAGATGGTGAGCTTCTCAGGCACAAAGATGGATCCATAGTCATCTTTGTGTCCTTCTTGCCAGCTCAGGAACTTGTTCCTAATAAATGATGGGATAAATTGAATGAGCTGATCAATGAATATTTGTTTGATTATCCCTATCCTAATGGGGTGAGGAATTTCTAGAGGCATTTGACATCCTCCTTCCCTGTGAGGACACCAAGGTGATGTGGAAAGAACGCTGAGCCTCCAGTCAGAGGACTGGAAACTTGGCCCCGTCCTGCCAGGGTCTTGTAGAGACTTTGATCATGTTCCCTAATCTGCCTCACTCCCAGCTACGTGAACTACTTCAGTGCTACTGTTAACACGACTAGAGGGCCAATTACAAGACTGTGCTTGACCTGGATTTTCTGTTCATTCAAAGTTGAAAAAATAGCTCCTAC